CTCTAGTATCCTTCCCTCCAGTGAGCAGTCGGGCTTTATTTCCTGGAGGATGGACTGGTTGGATCTTCTCGTAGTCCAAGGCACTCTCAGAACTTTCCTCCAACACCACAGCTCAAAAGCATCGATCTTCCTTCGCTCAGCCTTCCCTAAGGTCCAGCTCTCACATCCGTAGGTTACTACAGGGAATACCATGGCTTTGACTAGGCGGATCTTTGTTGCCAGTCTGATGTCTCAACTCTTTACTATTTTATCGAGATTGGACATTGCTCTCCTCCCAAGAAGTAAGCGTCTTCTGATTTCCTGGCTACAGTCTGCATCTGCAGTAATCTTTGCACCTAGAAATACAAAGTCTGTCACGGCCTCCACGGTCTCTTCTTGCCATATCTTTTGCCATATCTTTTGCATATACACATACACACACACACACACACACATACACATACATATATATCGCAAGTGATCTAATTTATGTGGACACCCCCCCCCCCCTTGATTCTGTCTTTTCTGTGTATTTGTTCCCAATTTTCATACTTATCTGTTCAGTTTACAATATGTACATTTGGGAAGCAAAACAATTTTGCTTTCAATAAAAAATTCTGGTTGTCCATCTTTAATTTAGCCTGAATATGGCCATATACTGCTTTTTATAGTGCTATAACAATTTCAATAATTAAATAGCTACTTATTAAGAGAAAATAGAAGAAAAAAAGGAGTGAGTTGGTACAGTGCATTTTAGAAGCCGCAGTCCTGGTTGGTTCCAGCACACCATTGTCTTGTGCTGGTAGTAAACCATCATGACTATCTAAATTATGCTTTTAATAGTACAACACACACATCAAAATTTTGAGTTGTATTTTGAAAAAATCCGTATGCTGTGCCCAGAAGAAAAGAAGACAGACTGTGAAGCATCTGTGGTATTGGGAGGGGGAATGGGAGGAGGGGGAATTGCGGGGAATATGGAACTGTTAAGTAACTGCAGATTTTTTTTTAGCTTAGCTTGCTTAATGCCTCGAAAAATGGATGTATAGCATTAGCTACTGATCTAATGGCATGTTGTGTTTTATTTTCCCCCAATGTTCAGACTTTAGGCTAAACTGAAAGATGAAATACTTTTATTTTAAAACATTTAGTATTTGGAAAAGTTGAAAGTGAAGTAAAGATGGAAGATTTTGCTTTTACAGATTATCCTTTAGAACAGTGTTGGACAGCTTTTTCAGCCATAAAGGACCAAGGGCCATACATGTGTGCATAGGGAGGCGCATACAGAAAACATACACACTTGCATAGAATTTGGAATGAAGTTGGACTGTCTTGCTTTATTAGATAAAGCCACAGGAGCAAAAATCCAGAAGTGGGGGTAATAGCTATATATATTTGCCCTTTTAAAAAACTGCATGTGTTATTTAAACAAATAGAACATACATGGTGAAAGATTGGATCCAGACATAGCCAGTCTTGGGAGAGTTCTTTTGAAATAGATGGGATTTAAGTCAGTCATAAGTAACTAAAATGATAGTGATTTCAACAGGCTCGCTAAAAATATTACCAAGTTTGCATCTTATTTGCTATTACCTTATATACTCGTGTATAAGTTGACCTCATATATAAGTCATGGGTAGATTTTCAGAGGGGGGATTATGATTTTTGTTATGACTCATGGATAAGTCATTCTGTGGAAAAGGGAAGCATGAACATCTCCTTTTTCTGTCCAGCATTCAGAAAGGCATTTTTCCACTCTACACAGAGAAGGGGGTCATTTCTTTCTTTTTATTTTTTTTTATAAAGGTTAAGGTAAAGTATTAACTTTTATCCAAAAAAAGAAGCATTCCCTTCTCCGTGTTGAGTGGCAAAAGGCAAAAGCACTCATTTGAAAGGAAGTGCCAAAGCACCTCCACTACCACCACCTCCAATTTCTTAATAAAGCATTCAAAACGGGCAGAAGAGTAGGTGGGAATGATGCTTCTTTTAGGTTCTCCTAGGATAGGCTAAGCTCTCAGTGTGGGAGTAGTAATTTTTTTTAAAAAAGTCATCACTTTTGTTTTTCTATTTTAAAACAAGATGATAGGCCTCTGCCACTGCCACATCATCATCATCATCTCCTGGAACAATTCTATCAGTGTTACCTCTGAAAAATCCTGCAAATCTCTTGAGAAGACAGGCAACAAATGTCAGCATGCTGGAAAAAGCAAAGACTACCAGCACTGAAATGATGCTCCTACACCATCAACTCTGCTGGATTGACCACGTTGTCCGAATGCCTAATCACCATTTCCCAAAGCAGTTACTATACTCCCAAACTCAAGAATGGAAAACAGATTTAAAGATGGCCTTAAAGCTAACCTTAAAAACTGGCATAGACACTGAGAACTGGGAAGCCCTGATCCTTGAGCGCTCTAACTGGAGGTCAGTTGTGACCAGCAGTGTGCGGATTTTGAAGAGGTAGGAATGGAGCGTGAATGGGAGAAATGTGCCAAGAGAAAGGCACATCAAGCCAACCCTGACCAGGACTGCCTTCCACCTGGAAACGGATGTCTTCACTTTGGAAGAACATGTGGGTAAAGAATAGAGCTACACATTCACCTATGTACCCACCACCAAGACACTGCGCTTGGGAGGCCATCATACTTGGACAAGTGATCACCTAAGTAAGTAAAAGTAAAAAGTAAAGTATATACACCATCACTGTTAATGGTGCTTTACGAGTAAATGGTCAATTAGACCTCATCTAATTAAGACATGACACATAAAGAAAAGGGAATTGCAGTTGGGTTGGGATTGGGACCAACAGGTAAAGCCTCTCCTTCTGTACCTCTGCAGCTAGGGCAGTAGTACAGCTATATCTGTCTCTTCTCTCCCTCTAAGTCCAGGACAGATCTTCTGAAAGTCTTCTTTATAGATGTGCTTGAGAATTGAATCAGCATCTTACCAATGTAAAGTAAGTTCACTACAGATTTGAATAAGGAATTTTGTAATGTAGTCAGTCACACACTTAGCCACTGCCTTAAAAGACCTTTATAGACTGCACACATTTGGTTCACAATAAAACGTAAAGGATCACAAACATTTAGGCACAGAGGGTAGAAACTAAGGGCACATCTACACTGACTACTTCAGTTTGTTTCAAAGCGGTATTGCAGAAAGTGTTTTTGCTGTGTAGATGATTACACAGAAAATCCTGAAACTGGTTTGAGGCCTGGATGGTGACTGCACGAACCACAGAGCACTGATGCCAATAAGGGATTTCTCTATTATTTTCTTTATTCCCCTCTTTTTCTCTGTGGGGACTTGAAGTGGCTCACAATCACACACTTCGGTCATAATTTAAAACAAAATAAATACATTTTTTAAAAAACCCAATTAAATAGTAATGTGTGGATTTAGATTAAAATACAATTAAAATATAATACATTCAATTGAAATAGAATTTCAAACTCACAATTCCCCCCCCCCCCGCCCCACCAGTCCCATCCACAACCCTTTATCCTTCCCCAAATGCCTGGTGGCAGAGAAAGTTTTGACCTGCCTGTGAAAGACCAGTAGGGATGGAGCCCTCCTGGTCTCTCTTGGGAGGGAGTTCCACAGTCTGGGAGCAGCCACCGAAAGGGCCCTATCCTTTGTTCCCTCCAAATGCACTTGAGTGGGCATTTGTCATATGATCCTACCTTCTCCCTGCCTGCTTCATGAGGATTATTGGGAACACGCTGCCTCTCAGGGAAAACCCTGGACAGAGCTAGCCCTAAATAGGCATGGAAGATTAATCATCCTGGATAACATATTCAGAGATCCTTTGCCCAGCCAACAAGCTTTCTACACAATTGTTCAAAGGCAACAAAAGACCAACTCAGACACCTTATCTTTCAAAAATTACTTAGAGAACTATCTCAGCAAAGAAAAAAGAAAAAAGAAAAGAAAAGAAAAAAACCTGGGTAACTGCATTTCTCCTCAATAGCAGTTGCCTCAGGGTAATGAACCTAGACTCTTTCATCCAAGCAATTGCAGCAAGTAGAGAACGGGTGGTGGTTGAAACATATACATATTTTGGAGTGTTGTGCATCTAACCAATACCACAAAAAAGAAAAATATAATGTGACACATTTCTGTTCTGTAGCAGTTGCCAGGATAGGAGATAATTCAAACTAGTAGTTATCCTTATTCTATTCAATATTCATTTATTTATCTGCACTTCAAACATTTAGCGTTCTTAAACCAAACATTACCCTGACCACTTTTTCAGTTGAAGAAATAGGCAAGGACAAACCCTTACAGTTCAATACTATGCATGTTTTACTTAATGTGTTAAGGACTAAACTCCTGAAATAGCTAAAAATTGTATTTATCACAGTGCACCAAAGATTCCTTCTTGTGTATTCAATAATAATAATAATAATAATAATAATAATAATAATAATAATAATGGCTTTATTTATATCCCGCCCCGTCTTCCAAAAGGAACTAAGGGTGGCTTACTTTACTTATGTGAAAAGCGATGGTTAAAATAAAAGCATTTAATTTAATCAAGTATTAAAAACCATTGTGTAAAAGTTAATAAAATCCCTGTCTTCTAATAACACTGACCAACACCAACAAGTTATTACCTTGCTTATACTTTTCTATTGATTTTTTTTCTGATTACAAGAACCAAAAACCCGAAATGCTGAGAAAACACTGCTTTCCCTTTTGTATTAATGAAATTTCACTGTTAACAAATGGCTTTAACAAAATGCTTTGTAGATGCTGAGAAGACTAACCATATGAAAAACCTCATGCTGAAGTTGTCAATCCACAACAAGTCCAGGTATATATATACATATATATATATATATATATATATATATATATATATATACATACATACATACATACATACACACACACCTGGAAAGCATGTTTGTGTTCATTTATCAAAGCACGCACCGCACAATCTTAAAACAAAGCGCCTCACAATTGCCTCCCACAAAATAAAAGCTAGTGGGCTCAGACAAGAAACGACATAAACTCACCAAAGCTTCATATGTAAAAAGGCTGAAATGCATCCAGAAAGGGAGCGTTTTCAACAGTCAATTACTTTTCCATTTTGTCCCAGGACTTTAAAAGTTAAAGGCATCGTTCTGCCAATTGTGAGATGCCCCATCCAGCACAGACCACCCACAAGTACTGATTTTCCATCTGGTGAACAAAACAGACATCTCCCTAATTATTTTTTAATAGGAGGTTTCCCCCCCTCCCCTCACTTGCTTCCTTTATTTGTCTGTGACCTGGAACTTAATGGAAAACCTGGTAGATGCCAACCATATTTCTTGCAATGTAGCATCCTTTTTTCTCCCCTTAAAAAATGCTTATTTGAAGCTATTACATATGCTGCTTTCTAACAATCTGAATCATTACACAATTCAAGCCTGGGATTAGCACAGTTTTGCACTTAACACTGAATATTTTAATCAGTACATTGAAGGAGAACAGTCCTCTCTTACGCTGAGCTCCCATATTGCCGGTGTCAAAATTTATGCCTTTTTTCAGTAAGATTCTCTTCGGTGCCAGCAATACACTCAGAAATGCCAACTGTAATTAAAATCTGGCACTATATACAGTTAGTAGCAGACTTTTTAAAGCCCCCTTTTAAAAAGCACTTTCATTATTAATACTACTATTATTGTTATTAGGCAAAAAGACAAGATAAATTATATGTGCTTTCAAAAACTGACACAATGAATAACATGGTCACAAGTGTTCAGGAAACCAGACTTGAAAAAGGCCATACACTACATTAATTGTGGGGAGGATGTACTCGGGAAGAAATCCACATGCCAGGATCGCAGATTTCGGTCCCACGTATAGCATCTATATGCTAATCAATCTGAACAAAATCTGCAATGTGTAAAACTGAGCACTATATTGCATAGGAGGCAAGCAAGCTATTCGGCATGAAGTGGGGCACAAAGTCAGTTGCATATGTAGTTTGTTGATGGGTTAGACACCACTCCCCCTTCCCCAAATATTTGAATTATTGAAATTTAAGTTTACAGTTAGATCCTCACAAGTCATAATATTTAAGGGATTGGAATTTACATTTACATTTAGATCCTGAAAAATGAGCAGAAGGGCTTAAAGCAAAAATGGAAAACCTATAGCATATTCATATCTTCAACTGCTAATGGCATCATCCTCCACCACTGGCCATGTTGCTGTTGCCCGTTTTTGGTGTAAAACTACTTAGCTGCTTGTGGTCCCTTTATTTCATCAGTTTTAAACTTATTTATTTATGCAATGCTTTTGACACGAAACAAATAAAACTGGCCATATTGCACCTGCCATCACACCTTGACTCCTCCGGCATTTGCCTATTTGTCATTCCCTCCAGATCACTTTCCTTCCTTGTTGCTCTCTGAAATCATTTACTTTTTAATGAGAAGAAAAAGTACACAATTTTCTATTAGAGTCTCGAGCACAAATAAGGTGTATCACTAAGTTTTCAAACCCCTGAATTAAGTTTTTTTTGCAAGGCTGGATTTCTACCTTTTGTATGAAAGACAGCCTCCAGAAAAATCATGATGTAGATTTTAACAAGTCAGATCCTAAAAATTTTGAAAGACTGAGATGAAAGGATCTTTCCTAATAACTGAAACAAAGAAAATGCAGTTTCACAGAAATCATTCGTGAGACTTTTGGCTTTATTAAATATGCTAAAGATAGCAGACTATGTCTAGCCTTGGAAGCTAAGCAGGTGCAGTCTTGGTAAGGACTTGGATAGGAGACTACAAGAAATACAAGCTGTAAGCTTTTTTTCCAGAAGGAATTAGTAAAACCACCTCTGAGTAATCCTTGCTCAAAAAAAACCCTATTAAATATCCATGAGGTTACATTAGTCAACTTGAACGTAGGTAGATATGCATTTCATGTACTACAACCCACAGAGGAGGCCCTAGGTAATTTTCAACGGTAAGCAAACAGTATTTTGATGCCCCCCCCCCCCACCAATCACTGATATAAATTTTCTGTTTGCCATGGGAGTTCTGTGTGCCATATTTGGTTCAATTCCATCATTGGTGGAGTTCAAAATGCTCTTTGATTGTAGGTGAACTATACATCCCAGTAACTACAACTCGCATACATCAAGGTCTATTTCCCCAAGAGTGCCTTAAGAGCGCCCCTGAGCAAAATCAACTATACTGCAAATGCTTACTTTGCGTAATGGGTTGAGCCGCCCCTGACAACCCAATAATTGCTAGTGGCACAACCACAGAGTCTGTATATGTGGGTTTTTTTTGGGGGGGGGGGTCAGGAGTGATGTGAGAAACTACAAGTCACTTCTGGTGTGAGAGAATGGGCCTTCTGGAAGGATGTTGCCCAGGGGATGCCAAGATGTTTTACCATCCTGTGAGAGGCTTCTGTCATGTCCCCTCATGGGAAGCTGGAGCTGACAGACAGGAGCTCACCCCACCCCCTGGATTCAAACCACTGACCTTTTGGTCAGCAGTCCTGCTGGCACAAGAGTTTAACCCACTGTGCCACAGGACTAGTGAATAGTATTGGCCTGGCATTTACATAAGTGAAAGTCTGCTGCAATAAATCTGGTCATTACCTGATCTGCTTACCACATATTTATTGCAGCAGACTTTCACTTATGCAAATGCCAGGCCAATACTATTCACTAGTCCTGTTTTTCCAAAGGATCCCCAGACTACTTTTGAACCCAGCACTGCTTCTACCACTATGAAAGAACAGATTGAAGGATCTTACCTACTTTTGATAACAACAACAACAGCAAAAACAATAACAACAACAACAACAGCAACAATCCCTTTTAGCAAAAGCAAGTTTGGTCTCTGTTAGGGTAGATTCTAAAAACTGGGAGCTTGAGTGATCTGCAGTTGCCAGGAGCTCTCCACCTGATACCTTCTGAATGGAAAGCACACATTGGAACACAAACTATGATTCTTCTCTTTAATAGTTCAAATATCACCAACAGTGGGCAATTTGAATGCAGTCTAGGACAGAAAGCTCGTTATAGTGACCTCAGAAAAATACAACCAGATTTTTAGGACACTTTTCATGTGTCAAGAAACATTTCAGTGAAATTTAGCTGTTTCCAGAAAGGAAGAAAGGGGAGGGGAGAGGAGGGGAGAATAGAAAGATTTGCATCTGGTAAAACAGCTGGTTTGTGGATCTAAAAAATAAAAATAAAATAGAAACTCTATGGGTTGAAAATGGATGTCACAGTGTTCAATATACAGTATTATTGAACATCAGCTTTCATCATTCGTCATCATTTGCTGTCCACACAAGGGCTGAAAGGACTTGCAGTCTGACGAAGTTTGGAGGGCCATGAATTTCTAACCCTGTACTGAAACATCAATTTTCTCCTCTCTCTTTTTTAAACCCATTGATTTTTTTAAATTCTATATCTCTTTTTCTCCTAAAAGGGTAGAGATGGGCTTTAGATCAGAAGTATTTGTTTATTTAAGCTATCCTACACTGGTCAAAACTGGAATACTTTCCAGGAGGCAGATAAAATCACATAACAATAAAATGCAGCACACACAAAGTTGTATTTAGAGCAGGGCCTACCAAAGTATATGCACTGACCAAATGATCTCCATGTTACAACGTAAGGGCACCCAACATTATGCACCAGTTGTGAGGGAGCCAAGTAGGTCTAAATTTGATCAACCGCCTCAGTGAGAAGGTAAAATGCATCTATGCAGCCACGCTGTCAACACAACCTGGAGAGTCTACAGACAACAGGTTCCTCAACATGGAAAAATGGAACAAGAGTACCTCCTCATGGCCAGAGTTGCGCATCACCTCCAGATGCCTGAGATGGAAAGGGAAACCTTTGCCTTTGGGGAATGAAATAATCAACTTCCATGCCATGTCCTGTCCCAGGACCAATTTGTCTCTCTGCTGTTCTTCATCTTACCCCTCAGTTGAAGATTAATTCCACTGTTTTCTCATCCAACCCTTCCACTAGTTATAGCACTTTCTATCTATCTCACCCACGGGTTTTATCCGTTTTTACCCATTGCATTTGGCCTAGCTCGCTTTGTCTAATTCTATTACCATTTTATCATTTGTTTTTATTATGGTTTTGCTATTGTGCCAGCAGGACAAGATCGACAGGTTGGAGATTCAAATCCGGGGAGAGTGCAGATGAGCTCCCTCTATCAGCTCCAGCTCCTCATGTGAGGACATGAGAGAAGCCTCCCACAAGGATGGTAAAACATCAAACATCCAGGCATCCCCTGGGCAACGTTCTTGCAGACAGCCAATTCTCTCACACCAGAAGTGACTTGCAGTTTCTCAAGTAGCTCCTGACATGAAAAACAAACAAACAACCCAACATCATTTCAATTAACATGTGCCTGAAATACGTAAATTTTTCCATTGATAGATGTTTGTTCAAGGGGAGACAAAGGATGATATGAGTGTGATGATGTGTTCCCTACTTATGTCTCAGAACAAAAGCTTTGTTTCCAAGATCTATCAGAAGATGGGAATCATCTCAATATTGTCTCCCATGTTGTTTAACATCTACATGAAGCCGCTGGGGGAGATCATCCGGAGTTTCGGGGTACGATGTCATCTGTACGCGGATGATGTCCAACTCTGTCACTCCTTTCCACCTGCTACTAAGGAGGCTGTCCAGGTCCTGAACCGGTGCTTGGCCGCTGTAACGGTCTGGATGAGGGCGAACAAATTGAAATTGAATCCAGACAAGACAGAGGTACTCCTGGTCAGTCGTAAGGCTGAACAGGGCATAGGGTTACAGCCTGTGTTGGATGGGGCCGCACTCCCCCTGAAGACGCAGGTTCACAGCTTGGGTGTGACCCTGGACTCATCGCTGAGCCTGGAACCCAAGGTTTCGGCGGTGACCAGGGGAGCATTTGCACAGCTAAAGCTTGTGCGCCAGCTGCGCCCGTACCTTGGGAAGTCTGACTTGGGCCACGGTAGTCCACGCTCTGGTTACATCCCGTTTAGACTACTGCAACGCTCTCTACGTGGGGTTGCCTTTGAAGACGGCTCGGAAGCTCCAACTAGTCCAACGCTTGGCAGCCATGATTTTAACAGGAGCGGAGCGCAGGGAGCATACAACCCCCCTGCTGCGCCAACTCCACTGGCTACCGATTTGCTACCGGGCTCAATTC